ATTGGTATTGCACTATTTGTATTTTTTTCACCAATAGTGAAATTAAGCCATTTAAAAATATATTTATTGGTTATTTGTATTTCTTCTTCTGTGAATTGCGTATTTATTTTTGCTTATTTTCCCATTTCCCACATCCTATTGTTATTTTTTTTCTCATTGGTGTCTAAGAATTATTTGTATATTAAGTTACAGATCTTGCCAAATGACTCCACAGAGCAGACACAAAGGAACAACTTTTCTGTTTGGGAGGACATGCATACGGCTACCTACCTCTGCATGCACAGCCTCCTAACAAGCTTGCATACCCTGTTACCTTATTCATCCTAACTCCCATCAGTCTCTCACTGAAGAGGGGCAACAAAAGGGGAACCACAGAATGATGTGTGCAGACAGAATCTCCACCTAGACTCTCCCCTAGGAGGGACTGAATGGGGCATCAGTCACATTAAGGTACAAGTCAACACTGTTGTTTGAAATGGGGGTTGAGAGCTTTTAGACCCAGGTAATTCACTCCCGCTACCAGGGCCTCTGGAAATATCTGAATAAAGAGATCACTGCCATCAGCCTAAGTCAGATATCACTGGACTACTTCCTGACTTCAGCTTCAGTGGGCAGTAAAGGGCTGTGGAAAGTCACTGTGGGCCGCAAGCCAAGTCTGCACCGGCAGTGGCTGAAAATCAAAGCCACATAGCCTGGGAGACTGTGCATGTTACACGTAAGTTTTTCACCAATTGTTCATGGAACACTACATCAAAAACTAATGATGTAATGTATGGTGATTAACATAACAAAAAATTTTTTAAAAAGTTTTTCTCCAATTGTTACTTGCCTTTTAATTTAAATTCTCTTAATGAAAATTTAACTTCATGATTTTTTTTAAGATTTTATTTATTTATTTGACAGAGAGAGATAGCGAGAGAGGGAACACAAGCAGGGGGAGTGGGAGAGGGAGAAGCAGGCTTCCCGCTGAGCAGGGAGCCCGATGCAGGACTCAATCCCAAGACCCTAGGATCATGACCTGAGCCGAAGGCAGACGCTTAATAACTGGGCCACCCAGGCGCCCTTAACTTCATGATTTTTGACAGAAATTTTATAGTGCATGTAATCAAAGCTTTCAATTTTTAGCTTTGGATATCTTCTATTTCTTTTGGGGTTAATTCTTTTAATATTAATTTTTTACAAAGTTGACTTTTTACAGTTAACCCCTTGAACCATCTGAAATATATTTTAGAGTATCGTATCAGGAAACAATAACAGTGATGTATCCCCCAACTAGCCAATAATCCCAGCATTATTTATCCAATGATTAAAAAATTTAAAAAAAAAATACTTTTAAGTAACTTCACACTCCTAAGAGGTTGCTCTTGTATATCCTTAATTCAGCTTCCCTTACTGGATTCCCCTATTTGATTAATTGGATTACTTGCACATTTCAAGACTTCCTTGTTGTCTCTGAAGGTGTGTTTGTGTCTGTAATTTACTTAAGCTTGAAACATTGATGACATGGATGACAAAAGTCATAAAATAGGTTAAAAGCTATGTGAGGCTTTCATTACTAGAATGAAATTTGAATTTAACATTAGAACTGCTGACTTAATCAGGAAAACTTCTCTAACTTCTACTGTTTTCCTTAGAATCAGCCTATTACAGATAAGATACAAATACATGGCCAATACTCATACCAAAAGCCATGTGATCATTGTTGGAAAAATCAACTATCAATCACTTACTTCTTCTAGATGTGGACATTCCATGTAAGAACCTAGGCTTTACTACTGAGACTCATAAAATGCTAATACCATCTTAAATCCTTTGTAAGATGATGTACAGTATAAACATATAAATCAAGTCTGAATGAGGGGAAAGTTAAATAACAAAATCTAAAATTACGGAACAAATCAAAATGGACTGTTAGCTCTGTGGAAAAATAACTTTCTCAAATTTAAATATAAGAAATCATAAAGGAAAATGAGAGGTTTAAATGTAATTATGTTTCTACACAATGGAAAATGTAAGCAAAGCAATACCAAGAGAAATAGGACAGATATGACAGATCTTTTTTTTTTTTTTAAGATTTTATTTATTTATTTGACAGAGAGAGACACAGCGAGAGAGGGAACACAAGCAGTGGGAATGGGAGAGGGAGAAGCAGGCCTCCCGAGGAGCAGGGAGCCCGATGCGGGGCTCGATCCCAGGATGTGGAATCATGACCCAAGCTGAAGGCAGATGCTTAACGACTGAGCCACCCAGGCACCCCTATGACAGATCTTTAAAAAATCTTTACTACGACTCTGTTTTTTAAGATTTATTTGAGAGAGAGAAAAAGAGAGTGCATCGGTGTGTTCACACAAGCGGGAGGAGGGGCAAAGGAAGAGGGAGAGAGAGAATCTCAAGCAGGCTCCACTGCTGAGTGCAGAGCCAGACGTGGGGCTCAATCCCACGACCTGGAGAGATCAGGATCTGAGCCAAAATCAAGAGTTGGAGGCTTAACCAACTGAGCCACTCAGGTGCTCCTAGGACTCTGATTTTTAAAAAATAATCTTCGATAGAAATATTAACAAAACATGAAAGAACTAATTTACACACACAAAAATAAAATTAAATGTTGAAATGTTCATTCTTGTAAATGATAGTAAAAAGTAAACTAGGAAAATTTATTTTTAAAATAATTCCCAATGATGTCATAATTATAGCAAAGCCACCAGACTTCTATACTGCTGCTAACATTGTAAAATGTCACATACAACACTTTAAAAAAAATACCCGAAATGGCCATATGTGGGAACAGCCATAAATTCATTCCTTTTGGGGGTGCCTGGGAGGCTCAGTCAGTTAAGTGTCTGTCTTCGGCTCAGGTCATGATCCCAGGGTCCTGGGATAGAGCCCTGAGTTGGGCTCCCTGCTTGGCGGAGAGTCCGCTTCTCCCTCTTCCTCTGTCTCTGCTCGCTCTCAAATAAATAAATAAAATCTTTAAAAAAAATTCATTCCTTTTGACCAAATAATTTTACTCCTATTGAAGTAGCAGCACAGAATAGTTCGTTATAGCACTTTTTATGATGAGAACAATTGACATACCTAATATCTGAGTAGTCTAATCATTACAATACAGCATGGTAGAGTCTTATGTTGCCATTAAAACTGTAACAATGAACATGTAGAATGTTGGAAAATTACATAATAAAATGGTTGCAACTATAAAATGTATCTGTGTGGAATGTAATCTGAAAATGAACTGAGTCAAAATGAACTGTTGCTTTAAAAATTTGCTCAAGTTTCTGAAACTTATGTTACTTAACATTTTTTTTTTTAAATCCTGCAAATCCCTTGAGATGCTGGGATGTATCCCCAGCCCTCCTCTCTGTATCTGTGCCCAATAAAAGGAATCCTACAGGGACTGGTTGGCCTTCAGTCCTATTTGGTGTGTTCCTAAATGATAGTATTTGAGAATCTGACTTTCTTCATCACATAGCTAGCATCATCCCCTTAAGCGTAAATTTGTAATCCTTATACCACGTTAGAGCTGAAAGGGGCCTCAGAGATCAGGTAGTGGAATCCACCTAAGCTGCTCCAGCTTTATCATCTTGAGTCAGTCTCTGCCTCACTCTCTGCTCCACCCACATTGGGCTTCTCTCCTTCATTACAACACATTACGCTCTCCCCCCAGCTCTTGATCTCTGTTAACTCCTCTTTCCTCAAGTGTTCCCTCTTCTCTTAACGCTCATTTATTGTTTATTTCGCATGAAAACCGTCCCCAAAATCTTGGATCAGAATAAAACCCTTGATATATGCTCCAAGGGCACCATGATTTTAGTACACTTTGTATAATAATTATTTACTTTATTATTGATAATCACATATAAAGTATGTTTTCCTTCTCTGGATTAGAAGCCCCATGAAGCCAGGAATATCTATTTTGTTCATTAATCCTCTTCCAGTGCCTGATAGATAAGAAATCCCCATATATTTGTTGATGAATCAAGCAAATAAAAAATTAATAAAATAGAAATCTAAAAATCCTAAATAAAATATTAGCATATTGAATTTAGTGATATATTTTCAAAAATACGTAACATTTAAGTAGGGTTTATTTTAGGAAATAAAGGGTAGTGTATTATATAATTATTAATGTATCAAAAGAGATCAATTATCTCCATAGATGGGAAAAGGAATTAGATAAAATTCAACACATCTCCCAATTAAAAAAAATGTCTTGGGGCCCCTGGGTTGCTCAGTCAGTTAAGCTCTGCCTTTGGCTCAGATCATGATCCCAGGGTCCCGGAATCAAGCCCTGCATAGGGCTCCCTGCTCAGCGGGGAGTCTGCTTCTCCCTCTCCCTCTGCCCCTCCCCACGGTTAGTGCTCGCTTGCGCTCTCTCAAATAAATAAATAAAATCTTTTAAAAAAATGTCTCTTAGCTAGAAAAAAGGATGCTTTAACACAATAAATATTTAAAACAAACATTGTACCTAACAGTAAAACCCTGAAGACAAGGATACCCCTTACCACCATTAGTGAGCAACATTATTCTAAAAACATTAGTCAATGCAGTAAGGCTAGAAAGAAGATTCAGAAAATGATAGTCGTATGTAGATTACGACTGCCAATCTGAAAAACCCAAGATTAAATGAAAAGTTTTAGTAAGCAAGTTCAATAAGAGGATCAGTTACAAAATACATGAACACACTATAAAAGCAATACATTTAAAACAATGCATATTAGCATAAGGATAGACAGATCAATGGAATAGATTAGAAAGTGTAGAAAGTGATTTAATTTTTTTTGCCATATAAGAAATTACTTTGAAACTGACCATTGAAGAAGCATGGATTATTTAATTAATTGTATTAGCATATTATGGACAAATAGATTCCAATATGAAACTATGAATTAAAATAATATTTCATAATTTCATAATATTTCCTTTTATTTCTTAAGGGGAGATACTGATTATTTTCTTTTCCATGGTTTCCATTTTCCCTGACACCCTCATGCAGGCCTTACCGGCATTGTGATCTGGATGGGTTGCCGTTCTCCACTCTTGGTTGGGGCCACACCTTCTGTGTCATATGTGCCCGTATAAACAATTCTGTCCCCATCAGGCTCTTTAGACTTCAGCTCCAGTGGGACAACCACACCACCAATGGAAATGTTCCTGCAATGGACTGGAGTTGACTACATATGGTAGGAATTAATTTAGGCACCCTGTCCTGGTCTGGACAATAACCCTAGGCAGGAATCCTACAGGGTTTGATTAAAGGAGACATCTGGTGGGGTAGAAAGTTCTGAAAGGTCAGGAGGCTTGAGTTCTCCAACTTACCAGTCACGTGACCCTAGAGCAACTACTTAATCTCTCTGGACTGACCTTAGTATTCTCATCCAGACTACTTGTACAAGACTGAGTCAAACTCTTATCAGTCCTACTCTATAGTTTCTTATCTGTGGGACTATTAAAAACTTACCTATACCCAGCCTCATCCCAAACCCCAGAATTTAGAATTCAATGTGGTCAGGTATGGTTTGGGCACGGTAAATTTATTTTAAGTTTCTCTAGGTGATTCTAATATACAGGTAGGGTTGAGAACCAAGAACCACTGAACTAGCTCTTAAATGATTTTTTTCTGTTCCAACAGAGATCCCATGATTTGGGGTACACAAAGCCAACCACAAAACCAGAAATTCTCACTGGCATCATTCCTTTGTGTTAAGTTAGTGATTCTCAAGGGTTAGTCCCTAGATTAGCTGTGTCAGTATTACCTCCTCATGTATTAGAAAACAAATTTTTAAGCCCTACCCCAGACATAGTAAACTGGAAACTCGAGGGTGGGGCTCAGCTGAGTTTTAACAAGCATTTTAGGTGATTCTGACAGACACTCAAGTTTAGGAACTACTAGGTTAGGGCAATGAAACACCCTTGATAAAATTAAAATGTAAATAGAAAAAGTAGTTCTGTCATTAACACAAATTCATTTTAGATTAGTTAAAAAAATAGAGAACCACCTTGAAGAAAATGGGATAGAGAATAGATAACTTGGGAGAGTTTGCCAGGAAATAAGGGAAAGGAAAAGTCTGGATCATATGGAGATGCACAGAACACTGGGAAATGTGAAGGTAACTGGTGTGTGGAGCTGTGGGGGCTTGGTGACAAGCAGGGGGACCAGGAGTACTAGAAACAACCCAGTGTGGTTCTAGGTCCTTGAATTAGGGCCTGACACCTAGAAGGCCAACACAAGTTTTTTGAATTAATGACTACCCATGGAGACTGCAGCTATAAAAGGTATCTGGTGGACTCAAAGCCCTTCCACGCCCCGCTTCCACATTAGACTTCACACCATATTTAGGTGGAAGCTGAGAGGTAAAGGACTCCATCCCTAGATACTTCCCTATAAGCTATGGCACCCTTCCCTTCTGACTTTCTAGCCAGAAGTCTAGTGGGTGCACCAAACTGTGGTAGCAGGGAAGAGATAATCCCTGCCACAAATAAACCAAGAAACATCCTTTTGTTGCCAGGATATGGCGAATCCCAGACACCATCCCCAGGATGAATAAACAACTCAGGAGAAAATGAAAAACACATGGCAAGGAAAACGGTGAGACTAGGCCTAAGGCGAGGAGGCTGTGCTCTGACTTGTGGCTGCCCCTCCAGCCCCAGGGTCTCCAGCCACGTAGGGGTGGATGGATGGTGGAATAGGGAGCGTCCCTTAGGGAGCCCCAGGAACTACCTCACACCCTCGCCTTTACACCTCATTCCTCAGCCTTTCTTCCTCCTCCGGCCTCGCGGTTGGCAGAACCCCGCGGGGACGCCAGGGCTGGGGAGAGGAGGGCTGGGATTGCGGTAGGTGAACAACCCGGGGTCCTGGGGGTGCGCCGAGGGCTGGGCAGAAGGGATGAAAAATTTACAAGAAAATAACCCCCCGCGACCCTCCCTCCAACCCTGGCTTCCTGACGCTGTTTTAAACATCCCTCCCCGAGACGGGTGGAAGGAAACGTGAAGAGGGAAAAAGCAAGCGTAAAACAGAAGAGGGGACCAAAAGGAACAGGGAACTGACCTCTTCCCCCCACCCCTGGGCCGCTGGGCACGACGCGAGGCCAGAGCGGCCGGGGAGAGGCTCAGGCTGTCCCGGGGGCCTCGGTCCTCCGCGCGGACCCCAAGGTGGGGTCGGGCAGCCCCGGCGCGCGCGCTTACTCACTCGACCTGCAGCGTGGTGGGCTTAATCTTCACCTCCACCTTGTAGGAAGAGCCGGTGAGCAGCTTGATGGTGCGGTTCTGGCCGAAGCGCTGGCCGTCCACCTTGAAGAAGACCGGGCCGTCGTTGGGCTGGATGCGCAGCGCGATGGAGAGGCGCACGAGACCCGGCAGGTCCCCCATGGCTGGGCACGGAGCGAGCACCGCGGCTCCGCCCGGCGGAGGGCTGCGACCGAGCGGCTGGAGCGCTGTGGGCGGAGAGGAAGCTCCGGGCGGGAGAGGGAGGTGGCGGAGGGGAGGCTGCAGCTAGGAACCCGAGCCGTTGCGGCCGTTCGCCCTGGCTTTTGAGGACCAGCTCCGGAGGTCGTAGCCTTCCGCCCCACTCCGCAAGGAAGCGCGCCGGGGAGACAGCTCCGAGGCCCCGAGCTTCCCCATCCCCCGCCCCTGTGCAGCGCCCTGCGCGCCCTGATGGGTTCGCTCCGGCCCTCAGGCCTGGGGCAGATCCGCGCAGCTGGGGGCGAGAGAGTTAATCCTGCTTACGCACCACAATCCCCTTCAGCTGGAGAAGAGGACATTTAGGCTCCTCCTAGAGCCGCGCGGGGCGGGCGGAGGAGAGGATTGGGAGGGAGGAGGTATTGGGGTACTGGGGTTAAGCAACACTACACCAAGGACCGAGACCTCGGAATCTGGATACCATTTTGGTCGACTAAGGGATGTGGACACCGTTGCTCGAGAATCGGGCCCCAGGCGGACAGGAGGAGGCTGAGAAGCAAAAGGGAGACGGGAAATGGGGCAGGAAACAGCTAGCCAGTGATTTAAATTTCAGGAAATAAGAGTCTTTCCAAAGCTTGGGGGAAATGGCCGAGGGAAGGCGCAATTCCATCTAATGTAACCTGAAAGCTACACTGGATTAGAAATGTGTGCAAGAAAAAGCAAAAGAAAATAACCAATATGTATTCAAGGAACTACACCTTCTTGTAGGTGTGTATTTCTATTATGCATATTCTTGTCTCAAGAATGACACGGTGTAATGAGTTAGATTTACACGGATCTTGAAAGGTGAGCTATTAACCCTGTAAAAGACTTGTGTCTAAGGCATAATTTGTGACCAGGATTATTGACAGGGCACCCCTTGCGACACGGCAGAATTTAGATTTGCATTAATAGCGTGATTAGAGCGTTTCCATGGGAGAAGTCCGTTGACAGCTGGTGATTTTCGAAGTAAGAGGAGTCCAAGGCTATTAAGGCTCTATTGGGCATGGTTTCACAAAGCGGAGAGTAAACACCTGCTTCAGCACCACCCAGGTGGATAGTACCAGAGCCAGTGAGCACACCTGGGGAATGGAGAAGCTGGTTAGTGAGGACAAATGGGTTGGGAGGGGTCGTATGGCAGTTTTTATTCAGTCAGATTAGTATTGCTTTCCTTTAGAAATACCATCATCTCGAAAGTGATTTGTTTCCTACATTATTCTACAAAAATACATCAGATTTCTCTCATTTCTGAATTGTTTGCAATATTTCCTACACTACTCTTTGAATAGTATTAAATTTTGTAGGCTGCAGAGTTTTGTGTAATTGTTTGCTTCTCTACATTGACAAATTTGCTCACCACACCATAATCATTAGTATTAAATAAAATCCCTTAAAAAAAACCCTGATACATATATTCCTTACATAAAATGTATTTTGGCTCCCCAATAAGATTGGGAGCAGGAGCTCTTTTTCAGATCACCCAGTAATATCTACCATAGTGTCTTCTGCAAAGGGACCCATCAAATATTTGTGTTTATCCAAGTTGTTCAGACTTCACTAGAAGGGAGGGAATAAGGCTGGAGAGAATGACTTGAAAATGTTCCTTGGCAGGAGAGGCAGTTTGTGTAGTAGGTAAGCCCAGAAGCCTTACAGTCAGACTTGTTAAAATCCTCACTTTATCACCGTGCCAGTTGCGTGACCTTGGGCAAATTTCATAACCTCTCAGAAATGGTTTTCTCATCTGTAAAAGGGCTGGAGGAAAGCAGATGCTATCCCTCTGATAGGGTTGTTGTGATAGTCAAATGAGATGATGCACATTCCAGTGCCCGACTCTAATATTAGCTATTGTTATTAAGTGGAGGGAAATACGAATGGTCAATAAACATATATCGGGATGCTCAACCACATCTCTAGTAGAAAATCCAGAGGAATGTAGACCAAGTCAGTAATATCAAACTTTTTTTGTCTATCAGCTTGGCAGAATTTTCAAACACTTTAAATTCAATATTGGTAAAGATGTAGGGAAATCAGCACTGTCATAACCTGGTGGAAGAATATAATTGCAACAGCCTTTTATTAGAAGAAATTTAATGAATTTATTGAAAGTTAAACCATAAATGGGGTGCCTGGCTGGCTCAGGTAGAGCATGCAACTTTGATCTCGGGGTTGTGAGTTCAAGCCCCATGTTGGGTGTAGGGATTACTTAAAAAATAAATAAAAAATTTTTTAAAGTTAAAAAAAATTAAGCCATGTATTTATGGATGTGTCTGTGAACGTATGTATGTATACACACACACACACACGTACTGCTGAGTCAATAATCCTACTTTTAAAACCAATCCTTCAGAAAAAATAAAGGCATTATTACATTGGATATATGTAATTTGGGTGTTAATTGCAACATTGATTGTAAAAATCAAAACAAAGAATAAACTGAATGTCAACCAATAAATACATGGCTGAATAAATTCTTATATACCCATGGTATAGAATTTATGCCACTGTTAATATAATAAGTTATTCGTTGTATTGGCAAACATATATGCTAAAGCTGCTAATGATAAAAGCAGGGTGGCTACACAGTGGCAAACTGTGGCAGCCTGAGGGTAAGCACTTTGTTTTATGTGTTGCTGTATCCCAGCCTGCATAGAACAATGCCTGGTACATAATAGGTACTCCATAAGTATTTGTTGAATTGAATTTCTGTCCTTGTTTTAAACATGTTCATATGTAAATTCTCCCATATCTTGAAAAGTAATGAGATCCATGTGATTTATCTGGAGTAATGTAAACTGAAAAAAATCTAATTGCAAATAATATCTATAGTATGATAATATTTCAAAACACTAAAAATTTTAAAATCATATACATGTGTATATGTTTTTATTAGCTCTTTTTTAAAAAATTAGAAGGTACACAGCACATGTAATTTTGGTTACTCTGGTGGATAGAGAGTGGAAAGAGGGTTATACTTTTGAAATTATTTTAAAGTCTTTTTGGAAGTTTTACTTTTTTCCTCCACTTTTTGTTCAGTAATCCCAGTCTCAAGTCAACTTCCATCTGTGTATTGAAAAGAGTGTTGGATGTGGAGTAAGATGACTTCAGTTTGAATGCTGGCTCAGCTAATTGGTTTCTTTATGCAAAGCACTTAAAATCTTTGCATTTCAATTTTCATTATGTGTAAAATGGGAATTAAAATACATCCTTCCCAATGCTATGAGAATTAAATGAGAAGATGGAGAGCATTTGAAAAAATAAGTTACTTTTCAAATATGAGGTGTTATGGATGCTGGGCAAAATGCATTAGGGATACCATTTTGAGAATGATAAAATGCAACTTCTTAAAATGGAATTAATAAATGTAAAAGTAACTGGAAATTTTCCTTTACTGATAGAAATGTGCAAAGACTACGGGTATGCAGTATAATGGATCTGTGTTTGTATCCCAGGTTCGCTGATTATGGGCTGATGACCTTGAACAAGCCAAGCTGCTTAACTTCTGAGTTGTTCTATGATAATGGTAACATATATGATGCTCATAGAACCCAATGAGATTATATAAAACACGCAGGAGTATCAGTCACATATAGATACTTAATAAATTATAGATATTTTTGTTTATTTGAAAATATATTACTATATATATTTTTTTAAAAATTTTATTTATTTATTTGCCAGCAAGAGAAAGAGAGTACAAGCAGGGGGAGTGGCAGGCAGAGGGAGAAGCAGGGATGCTGGACTTGATCCCAGCACCCCGAGCCGAAGGCACATGCTTAACTGACTGAGCCACCCAGGCATCCCTATTACTATATTTTTAAGATCTCTAGTGTTATTACCTCAGATTGATGTCCTAAAACATTGTCTATCAACAGGCAACCGTTATTAGTATTCTTTTGGAAATTGGTAAATTTAGCCCAAGTGAATGGTGCGCATGGTAGAGGAATCAAGTCAACAACTTTCCATGTTCACTGTCCATTCTCTGTGCTGAATTCGTATTACACACTTCAAAAAGCAATCGGCATTATTACACAAGATATAGCTCTGTGTGTGTGTGTATAAATGTGGACGTACATATAAAGCCCAATCCCAGTACTCTTAGCTACTTTTTTTTTCATTTAATCTATATTCAGGTACAGTTTAACATCTGCAGGAGCTCTTTCTTTCTTTCTTTTTTTTAAAAATCAGTGTCAGTAATTAATGATGTACCAGACTCCTCTTCTCCTGCCTCAGATTGACTTCCCATCAGAAATCTCAACTGGTTTACTGTCCTTTTTTAAATTTTTTATTGTTATGTTAATCACCATACATTACATCATTAGTTTTTGATGTAGTGTTCCATGATTCATTGTTTGTGCTTAACACCCAGTGCTCCATGCAGAACGTGCCCTCTTTAATATCCATCACCAGGCTAACCCATCCCCCCACCTACTGTCCATTTTATTAGGATTTCCCCTCCTAGTTTCATTTGCTAGACTTGAAGGCAAAGCCACTCTCCTGGACCAATTCTGAAGAATCCAGGTCCTACCTTAGGCCCAAAGGATTTTGTAGCCATGGTGATGAGCCATGGCCTACTCTTTGTCTGTTAGACTCTTGGGGGAATCTGTTTACCTTCTTACAGAGTTATTGTGCAGACTCTGGCTCAGTGATGGTGATCCTCACCTCAGTTCTTGCTTGCATTTGTTCTGGACCAATTTAGCATAAGAATTTACATCCAAGGGGTGCCTGGGTGGCTCAGTCATTAAGCATCTGCCTTCGGCTCAGGTCATGATCCCACGGTCCTTGGATCAAGCCCCGCATCGGGCTCCCTGCTCCGCGGGAAGCCTGCTTCTCCCTCTCCCACTCCCCCTGCTTGTGTTCCCTCTCTCGCTGTGTCT